AAAGTACTTTATAGGTGTTATGATTTAAAAATGTGCAGTCCATGTTCAAGTATCATTATGATAATGTAGCGCTTGTAATGGTAAGATTAGTGATATGAAAATATACATTGTGGTGCTTTGTCGAGTTGTGGATGAGTTTTTAGGGTGTTTCGGTGGTTCTCTGGTAGGTGGATAGGCCTAGTTACAAAGGAGATGCTGCCGAAATTTCTGAAACATTTGGGCGTTAGTCAAAATTTAGGAACTTGAGGTAGGTTATAAAAGAGATATGTTATGTTAAGTGTTTGGGTAGGACTCTACTCCTCATTCGAGGACGAATGATCCTAAGGGGTGGATGTAAGGCCCCGAAAAGTTTCGGTAAGTAAATTAGGATTTTGTGGAGCCATATAGGCTAATTATAATATTTTATGTGTTATTAACATGATGGGCATCAGTTGGATTTGGTAAATAAGTGCATAAATCTTATAATGTGTAATTTGGGGTCTAATGGGAGTCCTAAGTCTAAGCCAAGTTGGAAAATTTCATAATAGACTAAAGTTGTAAATGAGTACGCATAAGACCTCGCCTTGGACAAGCATATTTACATTTATATAAGGTGTGTGTGATTCACAACCTATCAAATTAAAGCTCTTTGAGTCTAGTTTCCGATGCATTAAACCGTTCGTCATTTGGAGGTGTATACAAAAAGTTACGACCATTTTACTGGGCATGTGTCATATGTGCGCCCAGGTGCGCAGCGGAAGCGTGGCCGGGCATATTGAGAAGTATTCTGCCTCGTGAGCGCGGCCTTAGCGTGGTCTTAGTGCGGGAGCGCTAGTAGCAGACCTCTAAATACACCTAAGGATGGGAAATGAGAGGATTTAAGTCATTTTTCAAGACTAGGGCATCCTCTCCATCCCCAATCCGGCCAAGGTATCCAATTGCACACCTAAGGTGAGTTTTTAAATGTGTTTTCATGGTGATTTCACTTCTTATTCACTAGTTAAAACATGGTTTTGATTGGATTTTATAGGATTTCTTCAAAATCTCAAGAACATCCCAAAAGTTGTCTTTCAAGATTTGGTCTACAAGAGGTAGTCTTTTACCCTTAGACTTACATATATGGAGTTATTATAGAAATATGAGTATGAATTAAGTATTATAACTCATGGGATAGGGCTAGGACAGAGAAGAGGGTGGGGGGTCTCTAGGGTTTGGGGGTAGGGTTAGGACACTTATATGGGAGATGAGGGTCAATTCCAAGCCATTCGATCAAAAAAAATGAATGGTCAAGATTGAACGCCTCAAAACGACGTCGTTTTATTAAGTGGAGGGGGGATGGATCAGTCTTTAGAGGGTTTGGGCTAGATTGGGGGGAAAAATTGGGCTGTGAGATTTTGGTCTTGGCCCAATTTTGGGATTTAACAAAGCTTCCCCCTTATTTATTTATTTTTTATCTTTTCTTGATTTTTAACCTACTAAATTTAATTAAAAATCCTAGACTAAAATCTAATTCATAAAATTATATTTGTTACCCTAAACATAAATAATTAACTTAAAGATAATGCAAGGAAATTACTAACTTGAGAGTAAAAGCTAAAAATGTAAAAAATGGTCAATATTTTTGATTTTTGTCTATTAATGCAATTAATTAACAACTTAAACCTAAATGCAAATATCAATCTAAAAATGCAATGCATGAAATTTGAATATTTTTAGGGTATTTTCCATTATTTTAAAATATTAAAATTCAACTAAATGTAAACAATTTAACAGATATTCCTAAAAATTCCATAAAAATTAAAATAAATTAGAAAAATCTATTTTGTGACTTTGTAGGAATATATTTGGTCAGGAAAAAATTACGTGCTCACAATGTGAAAATGATAAAGGACTTGATGTCCCGCAAGTTCGACTTTCAAGACTTGGCCATGGTTACACTGACTCAGACTTGCAGTGCTGTTGTGACGAGACCCATAGCTGAGAAGCTATCTGACCTAGGGAGTTTCACAATCCCATGCATAATTGGCAACTATGCCTTTCCTAAGGTACTGTGTGATTTGGGAACAAGCATAAACCTTATTCCCCTAGCTATCTACAAAAGGCTAGGCATTGGAAGAGCTAGACCCACGTCCATGTTACTACAATTGGCTGACCGGACAGTGAAGAGGCTCTCTGGTATTCTAGATGATGTATTAGTACAGGTTGGGAAGTTTGTGTTCCCAGTAGACTTTTTCATCCTTGACTGTCGGGTTGACGAGGAAATTCCCGTAATTTTGGGAAGATAATTCTTGGCCAATAGGAGAGCTTTGATTGACTGTGAAACTGGAGAGCTCAAAATGAAATTAAATGATGAAGAGATAACATTCAACGTGCAGAAATCTATACGGAGACCAAGTGAATTTGCTAATTGCTCTCTAATAGATGCAATTGATGTAATTTTGGAGGAGGAAGATGAGACATTGAACATTAAAGACCCTCTAGCAGCCTGTCTCATGAACTTAGATGAAGCCAATGGAGAAGACTTGGCAGAGTGGGTACTTGCTCTTGAAGGCCAAGGTTTTTGAAGAAGGGAGCTCGAGTTTGAGCTCTTGCATTTAGAGAAAAAAAAATCTCCTCCAGCTAAGCCATCGATAGAAGAGCCACCAAAGTTGGAACTGAAGCCACTGCCATCTCATCTCAGGTATACCTTCTTGGGACCTAACTCCACTTTACATGTTATTATCTCATCTAGTTTATCAGATGAGCAGGCAGAACAACTTTTGTAGGTATTGATGGAGTGCAAGACTGCAATTGGTTGGACCATTGCAGACATTAAGGGTATTAGCCCGGCCTTCTGTATGCATAAGATTTTACTAGAAGATGGTCACAAACCTTCCAAAGAACATCAAAGAAGGCTGAACCCCAACATGAAAGAAGTGATTAAGTGGTTAGATGCAGGAATCATATTCCCTATCTCTGACAGCAACTGGGTTAGACCAGTTAAGTGTGTGCCAAAAAAGGGAGATATGACGGTAGTGATAAATGAGAAGAATGAATTGCTCTTTACATGAACAGTCACATGTTGGCGAATCTGTATGGATTACAGGAAGTTGAACTTGGCTACTCGGAAGGACCTTTTCCCACTGTCATTCATTGATCAGATGCTAGATAGATTGGTAGGGAGGTCCCACTTTTGCTTTTTGGATAGGTACTCGGGGTATAATCAGATTTCTATTTCCCCAGAGGATAGAGAGAAAATGTCGTTCACCTGCCCTTATGGTATCTATGCCTTTTGGAGAATGTCGTTTGGCTTATGCAATGCACCCGCCACATTCCAAAGGTGCATGATGGCCATCTTCACAGATATGGTAGAGGAAATAATGGAGGTTTTCATGGATGACTTCTCAGTGGTGGGGAACTCATTTGAGGATTGCCTTGCAAACTTGAGAAGAGTATTGAAAAGGTGTATCGAGACTAATCTGGTACTCAATTGGGAAAAGTCCCATTTCATGGTACGTGAAGGTATAGTATTGGGGCACCTAGTGTCGAGTAAAGGTATTGAGGTGTATTGTGCAAAGGTTGATATGATCAAAAAGCTTCCACCACCCACATACGTTAAAGCAATAAGAAGCTTCCTCGGGCACGCCAATTTTTATAGGCGATTCATAAAAGATTTTTCCAAAATTGCTAACTCTTTGTGTAAATTTCTTGAAAAAGATCACCCTTTTGTGTTTTCTGATGACTGCAGGGTAGTGTTTGAGGAATTGAAGAAGAGACTGGTAACAACACCTATCATAGTTGCCCCCGATTAGGAGCAACTATTTGAGCTGATGTGTGATGCGAGTGACTATGATGTGGGAGAAGTTCTTGGTCAGCGAAAAGATAAAATCATGCATCCAATATACTACACAAGTAGAATGCTGAGTGGAGCCCTTCTAAATTACACTGTGACCGAGAAGGAGATGCTGGTAATGGTGTTCGCATTTGACAAATTCAGGTCATACCTGATAGGCTCGAAGGTAATTGTTTACACTGACCATGCTGTCCTCAGGTACTTAATCGAGAAGAAGGAGTCAAAGCCGCGCCTGATCAGATGGGTGCTACTACTGCAAGAATTTGACTTAGAGATCCGTGACCGAAAGGGAACAGAGAACCAAGTAGCTGATCACTTGTCTAGGTTGGAAGGAGCCGAGAAGAAGGTTAAAGTGGAAGAGATTGTGGAAACTTTCCCGAATGAACAACTATTAGCCACAAGTCTTGAGGAAGCGCCATGGTGTGCAGACATTGCAAACTACCCGGCGAGCGGTATTATTCCTTATGACCTCTCCTTTGTCCAAAAGAAAAAGTTCTTTCGTGATTGTCGCATGTATTATTGGGATGAGCCTTATCTGTTCAGGATTTGTATTGATAACATGATCCGGAGATGTATATTTGAGATAGACCAATCTTCTATTTTGCAGGCATGTCACGCGTCACCATATGGTGGGTATTTCAGGGGAGTAAGGACAACTTCGAAAGTCTTGGAGTCGGGCTTCTATTGGCCAACATTGTTGAAAGATGCAATTTATGGATAAAGGGTTGCGATTAATTCCAATGAATCGGGAATATTTCCTGCTGACATGAGATGCCTATGAACCCAATTCAGGAGCTAGAAGTGTTTGATGTATGGGGAATCAATTTCATGGGGCCTTTTGTCAGCTCATATGGCAACAAGTACATACTCGTCGTGTGGACTACGTGTCCAAATGGGTGGAGGCTGCAGCGCTCCCTACAAATGATGCAAAAGGGGTAATTGGGTTTTTGAGAAAGAAACATATTCACCTGATTTTGCACTCCAAGGGCAATAATCAGTGATGGAGGCACTCACTTTTGTAATCGAGCCTTCGTGAAGTTGTTGGAGAAGTATGATGTACGCCACAAGGTTTCCACCCCATATCATCCACAAACGAGTGGGCAAGTGGAAGTTTCGAACAAAGAGATAAAGAGTGTGTTGACTAAGACTGTGAATGCTACTAGAACGGTTTGGGCAAGAAAGTTAGATGATGCACTTTGGGCTTATCGAACCGCTTTCAAAACTCCAATCGGCTTGTCACCATACAAGTTGGTATTTGGGAAGGCGTGTCACTTTACCGGTAGAGTTGGAGCATAGAGCTTTGTGGGCTTTGAGGCAGTTGAATCTCAATATTGAAGCTACGGGAGCAAGTAGAGTCACGGAGTTGCATAAGCTTGATGAGTTCCGATATCACACTTTTGAGAGCACAAGATTATACAAGGAGAGAATGAAGATGATACATGATAATAATATTATTGAGTGGAGTATTAAGATTGGAGATATGGTATTGCTATACAACTCAAGACTGAGGTTATTTTCGGGCAAATTAAAGTCAAGATGGTCACATCCCACTGGTGCCGTAGAGAGTGCTGCAGAAAATTACTCTCGCAAGTTCAGAGGCAATGGGCACAGATTAAAACATTATGTAGGCATGGATACAGAAAAGGTAGTATCAGTGATTCATTTGATCAAGCCTCCGATGTTGAGTGTACCTTAAATGCACTTACCTGTGTCGTGCTACGATGTTAAATCAGGCGCTTCATGGGAGGCAACTCATTGAACTGTTGTATTTGTCATGCCACGACATTAACTAAGGCGCTCATTGGGAGGCAACCCAATTAGTAGTTGAATTTAGTGTAGTTAGAATTTTTCTTTTGTTGTTAGGTACTAACAAGTTTGCAGGTGAGTTTGGGCGAGTTATAAGTACATTAGGCGCTGAAGGACTCGGGGTGAAGGGATCAACCCGAATATAGGTAGTATGATGCCCTCCAAGAAATGCAGAACCACCGGTGTTTCCTCCAGTGGTCACACTGGATCATCCAGGCCACGAGCTTCAACTAATGTTCGCCAGTATGATAGTACCAAGTTCGTCTCCAGCGCAGCTCAGGACCGTTTTGGTCACAAGGCATCAAAGAAGCCCAAAAGGAGAGGGGAATTGATATAGGGTCCCTCCAATATGACTATCCCAACATGTACAATGAATTATTCCGGCGTAGGCTGGATGTTGTCTTTGAAGAACCGGATGAAGCTAATTTGATGGTTGTGCGAGATTTTTACATGAACCTTCCAAAACATGTGAACGATGTTTGCGGTGCGAAAGAAAAATGTGGATGCATCCATTGAGGCCATTCGTAGAGCTTATCGGTTGCCAATGTTCAGGGAGGACCCTGAGGCAGAGGACTACTATGAGGCCCATGGAAGACGATTCACCACGTGGTATTTGTTCTTTGACACAATATGTGTGCCCAACAAGGAAGTCGTGTGGATTATACCAGGGAAGAAGTTTCATTCGGCATCACTTACCTTTGAAGGGAAGTGTTGGCTGTATATCATCAATGGCCACCTGCTCTCTTCCTCCAACACCACTAAAGTGAATGGTCCTAGAGCTGCATTGATCTGGAGCTTCATGAATGGACACAATTTTGATGTGGCCAATGTTATTCACGAAGAGATGTTCATCCGTTGTCCAGTGCGGCGGTATAGGTTCTTCTTTCCTTCCCTGGTCACTAGATTATGTCGAGCAACACGGCTGCCAGAGAACTTGAGCGTAGATGGAAGAGTGAAGAAAGAAACAAAGTTTCGGGCAGATAAAGTGACCATTGGGAAGGACCCTGTGGTACTTGGAGGTGCTAATAGTGATGATTCTGATGCACCTGAGGAGGGAGATGAAAGGCAGGATGAAGTGGGGGCTGAGTCACCCACCCATAAGCAAGTTGTAGAGGCCGAAAGAACATCGGTGGTTGGACGGAATACACGGATGACAGCCTTAAAGTAGGAATTGGCAGGGCTGCACACTACTGTTATAGAATTGAGGACTAGAGTTGATGCCTTGGCCACCCAAAATGTGAAGTCAGAGAAGAAAATCATGGGTTGGATGCGTACGATGGGGACGGCATGTCACCTCGACCCTGACACTGTCTCCGATCAAGACTGATCTTCCAAGAAAGTTCCTTTACCTCGCATTACTTTATTTTGTATGATATGGGGACATGCCATCTTTTTAAGTGTGGGGTGGGGGATACTTCATTTGTATGTTGTATATATATAGGAATGTAGTTTGATTTTAATCTTTGGATAGTTTGTCTAAATGTGTGAATGTGTGAAAAATTCAAATTTTTGACTTGTCCCGACGATAGATATCACTCGACAGGTTTCTTGAGGGTCTAAGTCGAAAGAAAAAAAAATTTCTTTTGTAGGTAGTGTATCAATCCCGCCTTGATTTTTCTTTGGACCGGTTCTTTTCCAAGGGTTTCATTTGAACCAGGTGTAGTCAGTTTTTAATTTTTAGTTAGGAACTCATGGGCTATGGGCTGATATGGAAATATGATCTCTTAACGTCGTTATGCCTTCAATACAGTGGGTACTTTAGTGTGATGCTTTGGATCAATTGTTGATTCTTGTTAGAGTGCCTTAAATTGTATGTTCTTAATTTGGCTTACGTACCCTGGCCAGAGTATTTCGATGATCCAATCTAGAGTGAGTCATGTGCCATGTGTGTGTGAGGATTGTTGTATTATGTGCACTGCATTTAATGCCTAGAACTTGCCACGTGTGTTTGCAAAGCGAAATAGTAGTTGTGTTCAGTCTAGGAAGTGATATAGGCATTTTTTTGTTGAGCCATATATATTCCACCCACCTAATTGTTATGTATCATAGTTAACCCCATTGAGTCTGTAATCCTGTTCTTTGGCAATCACATTACAAGCCTTACCCATTTATTTGAATTATCCATTTATTTGAACCTTTTAACCTTTCAAGAGCACTTGAATTATTATGAACATTGTAAATGTTAAAGTGTTGGCTGGTTGGTTGGGCTTTTGAGTGGAACTAATGAAATAAGGAGAAAGGTGCACTGTTTTGAAGAAGTAAGAGCCACTTGAATTGAAAAAGAAAGAAAGAAAAGAATAGTTGCATTGTTGTGAAGAAAT